GGGTGGCCTCGGCGCGACCGACCGACATGGCGACATCGAAGGAGAGCACCAACTGGGATGATCCGACCACGACGCCGACTCCGTCGCCAGTGTCGTCGACCCACCTGCTGACCACTTCAAGCTCACTGCGCTGATCATTCGTAATCTATTGACCCTGTGAAACGGAGTGTGAGACAATTGGTGCACTTTTCCGCCCGACATGCCGTCAATAAACGCCGAGGCAACAATTTTTGGCGATGATTTTACGGTCCGATCGCCGTTCAAGGATGCCCCGCTGTCGGCGGCGTCGTCGTCGCCATTCATCCGTTCGTCGTCATAGCCTCCGAGTTGGTGTATTCTTTCCTCAGCGGTGCTCGGTGCCCCGCATCGACGAGTGCCATCGCGCCGAGCCGACGCCGCCCTTACGAGGGACAAGTGAGTTCATTCAAGCAAGCACGCCGCCATGTCGACGACGATTTACGACAGACGGGCGCTGGGAGGAGGGGGCAGTGTTCGATCGCGGTTAAACACACAGACAGGGGCGGAGCAGGTGCACGATTATCATCAGTTACTAGACTGGCCCCCAAAAATCATGACATTCAGAAGTCATGTCTTCCAAAATTGCTGCCAACCCTAATAAGAACTATGCAGGCAGAGGAAAAGAGGTAGACGCGTTTATGAGAAGTAGTTATTCTAGACCAGAAGTACCGGCAATTTCAAGTCATTCCTAAGGAACTGAGAAATTTACATTTACGTTCCGTTATGCTTTCAACCAGAACTGGACGATCACTTTGGACTGAACTGATTTCTCTCAATCAAAACTCACTTTCACCTCGCAGAAGCCTCAATGGAACCGGGAACAACTAACAATCAGATAAAGAAGCTATGGTGGCTCGGGGCTGACAGGTCTCCAGGTGTGTTATAAGATAATTATTTCTAGGAAAGACATTTTTGCCACAAACCTCCACCCAACGACCAAATCCTCTAGCGACTGGATATATATATAGTGTGATTTCGCTCCGTCCTGCTGCTTCAGTCAGGCTTGCGAAACATCTTGTATCCACGTGTTTGATAGGTAGAACAAAACTGTACAGATCAATAGTTGTAGTGAAGGAAGGTGATTCTACCCCTGACTAGGAGAGGTAAGGTTAAGTACTCTACAGCAATATATTTTACTGGGTTTGATTCAAGGTTGCAACATCAAAACGAGTGGCATCGTGATGAACAGCAAACCGCATGACATGCACCTGACAGTAGTTAAAAAAACAAACAAATAATCAAAATTCCCTATAAACTGTTGATTCTGTTTAAGCTCCACCTGAAGCAATAACGTAGACCCTCAGCTTTGCTATCCTTTTACAACAAAACTCAAGAATCAACTTTTTATATATTTTCTTTCTTATTCTCACTCGTGTTTATAGTTTACCGAAACGATGAGACAGAACAAGAGCAAGAAGGAAGATATTATTCGAGTTAAATACCACATAACTCCTCTAAGACCAGGTTTAACGGCGTATTGCACCGTCCCTTGCGCCTGGGAGGGTTGCTTAGAGGTGCAATTTCATGCAATTTCACCGTGCACTGCTCCAGGGTATCTGAAGCATCCGCAGTGTTGGATACCCCGTGAATCGTTTTTTTCGCTAGCATTGTCTCCCCATCATTACGAACGACGTTTCAGGAGCTGGAACTCTTTATATGATTCCGACCGAACAAATGTCAAAATACGTTAGTGAGTAGGAGTACGTCAGAGAATGCATTACAGTACTAATCTTATTCAATTGGAAATAATCCTACAAGAAAATTGGAAGGAGACCAAAGAGCTAAAGGAGCTCAAAACTCGGTCGAAAAGATTCATTTGACTTCTTTTCGATTATGACTGGATGATCAGAGTAGAAACGATTTCGCAAATCTGTGCAATTCAGTGCCTTCTTCTAAAAGATGAATGAGCAGACACCAAAATACAGCGGTTTCAGCGGATCAAGAAACCAACTGACATTAAAACTAAGATTTTCACAACGTCGACCCCAAGGTTGTGTGTTTAATCATTGAATCAGTATCAATCAGAGTACAACTACACAAAGATGACTTTTTGATGTGCATTCTCATTAGACATGAGGAAAACCGACGATGTCCAAAATAGAACCTTTACGCTGAAATTTCCTCATAAATTAATTCATGTCTCCGTATATTTAGACAAAGCGTTTGTCCCAGTACAAGAAAAACCTTTACTCAACGATTATGTATTACGATCTATTCGAGTTAATTTTTTGCTTATACAACGGCACTAGCGAAATGCTTGGTTATACCTTAGCTTTCTACCGTCACTATACTTCCCCGGATTCACAAGACGGAATCGCACCGTCCCCTCGCTTCTAGAGACCTAGTGGACCATTTGAGCAGCCTATGACTCAACGGCATTTCAGTACCTGCGGCGCATTGACAAAAAGTCATACCGTTCTGCTGAGTCGAATAATAATCTTTTCGAACATCAAAGGATATACTTCGACCGGTAAGCATGCATAACACTGGTATTATGGGTTTACTAGAAAATTGCTAGTTCTGATACCGCTGGCAAAAAGCACAATTTTTGTAACTTCTCCACACATTTTAGCCTTCCTACCCTACTGCATGTTCCTTCACATATTAATACAATAAATGTTTCAGTCATGGACACTGTTTAACTTAAATATGAACAGACACCGGCATGAAATGCTAACGAAAGCCGCCTTGTATTAAACGCGTCATCTTATGCTCGATGTGAGTGCAAGCAACGAGAGACTACTGCTGCTTATCCATGAGTACTTCCAGAGTCGGTAGACGGCTGTACTGTATCGCGTGACATCTTCATTGCGAAAATGATCATACCAAGGCGAACGTAACAAAGAAATTCTGGAAACAGACAGTATTCTTGAAACAGTCATGCAGATCCCAACCAAGTTTCG